CTCTAGCAACTGAGCTGGAGTCTCAGCCGAGAGTTGCTTATCTTTAGACAGCGTCTTACTAGGTAGACAGGCTGGCCTTACACCTGCGATCCTCCCGCCTCAGCCTCGTAAGTGCTGGCGTGACGGTGTGTGTCACCACTCCAGCTGTCTCATTCTCAGTTCCCATGGAGAGTGAAGGGGAGAGGGAGTGAGATTTTCCGTGACCGTGCCCTTCCCACAGTAAGTGGGAATGCCCGTGTTGCCAGTGGCTACTAGCAATCCTGTCACGACCGGTCTGCTCGCTTGGGCATGTCTAGTCTTGAATTGGTTTTTTTTTTTGTGCTTGTTCTTTCAGGATCAGGTGGTGGGACTGGGGTCAGGCACAGCCATGTGGGTGAATAGGGCCCAGTGCCAGGCCACCAGTTCTTTCATCAGACATAGGGCTTTTGGCCAGGGGACTTGGCAAGGTGGCAGTCTCTCTGCTGATGGCATCAGCTGCCTCAGCCTGAGTCCATCTGTGGGAGGTGCTGAGCTTCAAGGCCTTCTTGATCCACACTGAAGAACAGTGAGGTCCCACTCATGAGTAGGACTGATCCCGCATGGGACGGTGGCATAGGCCCCTGAGTCTGATCTTGCTCAGGCAAGAGCGACAGGCCTGCCTTGTCCCTGTCAGCATGAGTAGGTCCCTGTAGAGTCATTGATGTACCAGAGTGAGCACGTGACAGCCTAGAGCTTCCATCACAGCTCTTGGGAGTCCCTGTCATATGGCAAGGTGTTCCAAAGCCTGAGACGTGTGAGGGAAACGACCTGAAGATGTGCTGTGTTGAGCCCTCCCCATGATCAGTTATAAAGCAGAGTTGGAGGGATAGGAGAGAGTCATGGTCCCCAGTGCCCCACCAGAGCACCGAGGCAGCAGCAGATGGGAGCAGAATTCCAATGGAAGGGGTCCGTGCCTGCGTGCCTGCGTGCCTGCGTGCCTGTGTGTAGTGTGTGTGTAGTGTGTGGTGTGAGGAGCTGGGAGAGAAGGGACTGGAGTTCTCTGCTGTCTCATGCACCCACTGCTGTGCCTTCTGAGCCCCGATGGACTATGGCCCCCTGAATGGTGGGCCAGGATGAACCTCTCTTTCTGTGAAAGCAAGCAGAGCAACTGGAGGAAGACAAAAGTAGACAAGCTTGGGGCTGTAACTGTTTTGGCAGGAGAGATGTGCTAAAGGGAGGTGTGGTCCTATTAGGCCTTTGGAGACAGTGGGCCCCGTGGAATTGAAGTTTCCCTCTGGAGTCTCACACTGGGAGAGGAAACGGCCGGAGCCCTAGTACCAGCCAGAGAGAGGAGCTTGTCTCCTGGGAAGAGATTTCCTCTGGTGCTGACAACCTGCAGGACCCACTGAGGTCCAGGGACTGAGTGTGTGGTGTGCGGTGGGGAAGACCACACTTGACAGGGACTGCCTGGCTATGCATACTTTTTACCCTCTATTTTAACCTCACGTCAGAACCCAAAGACAGACTTAGGGGTGTCTTTCTCCTTTTTCTGCTTGTTGTTACTCCTTGTCTGTTTAATTGGCCTATGGAGGACAGTTGGCCAAGGCAGCTAGAACTCGGACCTAACCACCCCAGTAATGGCAGGTTTTAGCTTCCATGTCTCTTCTGAGAGGGGTTCTGACCCCTGAGCTGGGGGCAAGGGTCCCCAACCCTTTTCATTTGAACATCTTAGTTCTCTATGGGCCAGGATCAACTTAACGTGTTGGGGTTGTGATTATAATGTCTGTATCTTTACTGAGATAATCTTCCAGTTAGGAGCTAGGACCTCTGGGGATGGTCCGAGGGTCCTGCCTTTTCTAGAAGCTTCTCCCTGTGCTGCTGGAAGACCTCCACAACTCTCCTTAGGTCACCCTCAAGGGTCAAGGATGGTTGGAGGGTGAGCCTTAGACTTGCTGGTGTAAGGCTGTGCTCCCGGAATGGGTCCCTTAGCTGCCTGCCCGCTCCACTCCGACAGCTGTAAAATGGATTAGGAACGTCTACCCTGCAAGGACTTTTTGAAGGGTAAATGACGTGCTGGACGTGAAAGCACTTGGCTCATGGAAGCCACACCATGATTACAGTAGCTAACAGCACCTGAGCTGCTCCTCTGTGCCAGGTGACTTGCAAGGCTTCATTCAACACACTTCCTTTCCCTGGGGGCACCCACACTGTGGCAGAGGGCTGGGCGTGTGCCTCCTCAGACAGTCAGGACGTTGTGTGAGAAGGGTGGCCAATGAAGTGTGTCCAGAAGGCTGGGATGGCCCTGGGACTATTTCTGGCGGGTCAGGTCCCTACTGTCCACAGACACCTCCTTGCTCCTTTGGAAGCTCCATCATCTCGCTGGGTCCTCTTTGACGCTCCTGGGTTTGCCATGCGTTGGGATCAGGTCTGTGTTTGTTGGCATGGCCCTTGGGACCCTGTGTGATGTTGCCGAGCTCTCCATGGAGGACTGTCTTGGCTTCTTCACTTTTTACGCTGTCTGCTCCATCCACACTGAACTGATTTCCTTTCACCTTTGGCTATACACGCACCTGCTTGTGCCTGGACACACTTCCTGATGTCACCCCTCAGGACTTCTCTAGCATGCTTGTGGTGATGCCTTTGTTGATGCCCCCAGACTGAGGGCATCATGCCTACACTGGTGCTGCCAGCCTTGGGTTATGATTCTGGCAATTTCTCTCCTGCTCTGTGTCGTTTCTGATTGTCCTTCATGTGGCTTTGTCATGAGGGAGGAAGAAAAGACTGGCTGGGTGATGATGGGGACAGGAGGCAGCAATCACCTCTGGCCACAGAGGGTTAGTAGACTCTTAGCATATTGGTTATCTATGAAACAGGAGACAGCAGGGCCTGGAGACCAGAGCACATAGGCAGAGGTGACCTAGCCTGGGGCCTCCATCCTCAAGTCAGGACATTTTCAGCCTTCATAAACAGTGTGTACAAGATGCCATTCTCAGCAGCCAGTTAGCATCAAGGTCCTGTCAGTATTACTGGGTCATAAATCTGGCTACTGTGTGCAGGGACCCAAAGAGGGCGCTGGGGAGCCTGAGGCAAACAGCAGGAGCGCTTCGGAGGGAGCACGGGGAGCTCTTACAGAAGGTTGTGGTATGTGCTGAGGGCGCGGCACCATGGGAGGGGTCATCTCCAGTCCTGAGAGACTCAGGCGACACCTGACCTTGATCTTGAAGGGGCTAAGAAGGTTTGCATAGCTGGGAAGAGGTGGAAGGCCTTTCAGGTGGAGGGGACCACAGGACCAGAGAAACCTGAGGCAGCAGCAACAAGGGGTACAGAGAGTCTGGTTGGGTGAGTGAGAGAGCAGGAGCCTTGCTGTTGAGGGTGGGTGCCTCTGTTGAGGCAGTTCAGAGGACCAGAGGGGGAGCTGGCCAGGCCTGGCCTGTGACGGGCACCCCTGGCAGCGGGCGAACCGGAAGGACAGACCATAGCTGGTAACCGAAGCATCTTCAGCGTTACCAGCTCATTGTTAGCTTGGTCTTGTAAGTAGCAGAGAAGCCAAGAGAGCAGCGGCGAACAAAATAGATAGATAGATAGATAGATAGATAGATAGATAGATAGATAGATAGATAGATAGATAAAATAAAATAAAATAAAAACAAAAATGCAAGTGGACGACACAAGATAGCCCCATGAGAACAGGTGTCTAGTTCACAGACACAGAAAGGGCCAGTAGACACTTCCCCACTGTGGTACTGGACCTTGTTGGGGCTAAGAAGGAACTGTACCACTGAGCTACACCACCAGCTCGTGGTAAATACTTTGTTTTGTTTGAGACAGGGTCTCTCTCATAAAGCCCATATAGCCAAGGATGGCCTGAGCCTCTCTTTCTCTTGCCTCACCTTCCCAGTGCTGGGATTCCAGGCATCTGCTGCCAGACCCTGGGTCAACTTCATACATACTCTCCAAGCCTGCTACCAACCGAGTAATACCCCCAGCTAACAGTAAAAACACTTTTTGAGAGAATAAACAGAAACAACAGTCAGTGGCCAGCCAGGGGTTTGAGATTAGGAGCCTGTGGGTTTGGAGCGTGTTAGGTAAGCACTGAGTCCACACGTGGGCATGTGGCCCGTGGGCTGTCTCCGTACATTCTGAGGGAAGGGTTAATGCCACCCCTTGGGAGCACTGCCTGCGTTATCTGAAAGGTTCTAGCTCTTTGACTATCATTCTGCCTTCTTAGAATTTCTATTTGGGACTGGAGAGATGGCTCAGCAGCGAGGAGCACTTGCTATTCTTGTAGAGGCCCTATGTTTGATTGCCAGTCCCCACATGGAGGCTGCCATCTACAACTTTAGTTCCAGGAGATCTGGCACCTTCTTCTGGCCTCTGTGGGTACCAGGCATATACTCAGCGGACTTACATATGCATAGGCAAACCACTTACACACATAAAATAAAAATAAATAAAACTTTTAAGGAAGTTATGTGCTCAAAGAAACCCATTGGCATTACTGCTTCATCCATTCATTTAGTTGATCTATTTTTTTGAGAGTCTTGTTATATAGTCCATGCTGGCCTTGAACGTGTGATCATCCTACCTTAGCCTCCTGAGTGCTGGCATTATAGGTATATACCACAATGCCTGGTTAAATCCTATTTATTTCAACTGATGAAACTCTAGACAACAGGGCTAGAACTTGAAGCCATGTGGCTGGCTCCAGAGGCCATGTTCTTAACCTGCAGGAGGAAACCTGCCTCTATCATATCCTTGGGGACCGAACAACATTTGTCATGTGGTGTTCCAGGATTGGCAGGGGCCTTGGAGTTAGTTATCTTGTTCATTCTGTAGGTGGAGAAGAGGGACCTGTTCTGGGTGACATGGTCGAGGGAGTTAAATAGTCTTTTCTGGTGTGTTTCCGGGAGGCTGCTCCAGCGCATCCAGAGTTAATTGTGCAGGCCACCAGTTTCTTGCACTGTCATGACTGCGAGGCTAAAGCTGACCTGAACCTCCCTTGAACTCAGCCTTATTATTCTCCCTTCTTGTCTTTCTCCCAGATTGATAAGTATCTGTATGCCATGCGGCTCTCTGATGAAGTTCTGATTGATATTCTGACACGCTTCAAGAAAGAAATGAAGAATGGCCTTTCCCGGGATTATAATCCAACAGCCTCGGTCAAGATGTTGCCAACCTTTGTACGGTCCATTCCTGATGGCTCAGGTGAGTGTGTGAGGAACCAGGCTCTGTGGGCTGAACGTTCTGTGAAACCATGCTTCCAATAGGTGTTTGCTCATTTGTTCATTTTCACTCATTCACTGTTCTGTCCATCTGTTCTCCCGTTGATCTATCTACTATCTCGCCACCTCCCCACCCACCCAGCTATTCTCCCATTGATGTGTCTTTTCCCTCCATCCTTCCATCCAGTCACCTACTCACTTACCCACTGATCTCACGATTTGCTCCCTTTCTCTCCATCCACCCTCCCATTACCCACTCCCCCACCCCCCCACCCATTTGCCCATCTATTCCCTTGTTCTCCCTCTATCCATACATCAACCCATCTGTCCTGTATCTGTTGGGCATTTGCCATATGCCAGGCACCGATGACATTGGACAATGCTGACCTGCCTTCATGTATGACACTTTGAAAGCATAGCATTTAGGGTTTTGCAGGGTTATCCTACATCTCTAGAGTAAACCAGGGATTCTTTTTGAGAGAGTCCGAAGTACCAGGCCATTTTCCCTTTGGTGCTCCAGATAAGTAGCATTCCTAGTGGGCCAAGTAGGGCTTAGACTCAGAGGTGGGACATTCAAGTCTCCATTTGGACAAATTCTCTACAGTAAATCAAGGTATCCCCAAGAATTCTCCTCCCAGCCTGCATCCTTGTGGCTCCTGCTCACTGCAGGGAGGTGAAGGACCACCTGAGGTCTGACTGCATTGCTCCTCACTGGTTAACTGCCAGTTTGCACAAGTGGATGCCGAAGCCACCCCAGAACTAGGATGAGGTTCGCGCACAGTATGCTGTGAGGGGAGCTACATTCCAGGAAGTCAGGTTTCTTTTTGAGTTCATGCCTATGAGCATGGCCCCACAGTTTCGAGATATCTTTCTTGCTTTGGAGACCTGAATTTTCAGTCTTGTCTGGAGACTGTAAACAGCAGCTTGCAGGCCGATGCCAGCAAAGCTGCAGCTTTTATAGTTGCTTTCCCAGCAGAGGGCAAAAATGTGGGATTGCTGTGTGTGCAATCTGGCTGGAGCTGGAATAGTCCTGGCCATAGCTGGCCTTGGGGATGTCCTCAGTGAGTCTTGGGTGCGGTTACCACTTGTGCCATTTGCCCCGTTTTGTAGATGAGATTTACCACATACACACACTGGTGTCTCTGTCTCTGATGTTTCTTTGTTCAAGAATTGAACTGGATCCACTCAGGACCTTTGTCTCTTCAAGGGCTGGTTACTAGCAGTTGAGCTTTTGAGGTGGTTCTGCCTGGCTGAATGACTCTGTCTGCTGTTGCCTGAGTGTCTCATGCTGCCTGTGGTTGGGAAAAGGAGTCCCCTGTACTTATTGTCACTTTTTCTTAGCCCTGGATGGACCCACAAGCAGGCAAAGAATCCGTGCATGAGCTGAGTTCAGTACTGCCTTTTGCAGCAGAGTGGTGAGGGAGGGGAGGGAGTTGCAAGTGATCTGGGCTTGGGAACTTGGAAGGTCACCTGGTCCTAAGTGACCAGGAAGGATGAGAAGGTGGGAAAGAGGAGGAGGAGGAGGAAGATGTCTGTTCTTTCTTGTGTCTACCACCAGCTTCCTCCCTTAGATCAAGCAGCAGCCCCTCCCCCACTTTTTTCACCATCCTTTTCTAGGGTTGAGTGTCTCAAAGTGGGACACTAGTAATTTTCTTAGCTATTCCTCTGCCCTCCTCAGATATGCTTCCTGACAAGGCCCATTCATGGGAAAATTCTTGTTCCCTCTTGGAGACCCGAGGTAGACACTAAAGGCCCTGAACAGTCCCACAGGAGAAGGACCTGTGTGCTTCAGCACAGCTGCCTTCCCGGAATCTGCTTCCATGGTTTGTTCATCTGGAGTCGCTCATTTTTTAACAGTCTCTGGAATCTGCATTGTTTTGCCCAGCATATCCATCTTTCTTTTTTCTTCCTTTCTGTTATTTGCACCTTATAGTTAGCCCAGTGGCATTTTTTTCTTCATTAATGTTTCATCAAATAATGGTAGGTCTCAAAATCAATGGTATCTTAAGTGTGATGACTCCCACAGCTCTGCACCCATGTTGGGACACAGTTGCAGGGTTTGAGGAATCTAAGTCAGCAGCCTGGGCCCTAGGCTTCCTTTGGCCCCTGCCTGTTTCCTCTGGTGCTGATAGGATCAAGTGTTGGGGCCTCTAAGGAGCACCGATCAGTACTGACAGCGAAAAGAGAGAGGACAGGAGGAGAGGAGGATGCCAAAGACTTGAGTAACAATGACCATTGGGTCCCCTGGGTCCTTGTCATTTGTCCTAAGAAATGCCAGCTGTGTTGGGTTAGAGCCTACACTGATTACCTTCTCTGATCAGAAAGAGCCTATTCCCAGATAAGATTCCACTCGCAGGTTGGCAACACTGACCTCTGGATACAAACATTCATAAGGCCATATACCTGTTGGGTTTTGTTTTTCAAAAATAGTTTTGTTTGTTGAGATGGGATCTTGCTGTGTAGGATTGGCTGTCTTGAAACTTGGAATATAGACCAGGCTGGCCTGGAGCTCACAGGGATCCACCTGCCTCTACTTCCTAAGTGCTGGGATTAAAGGTGTGAGGGGTTTTTTTTGTTTTGTGTTTTTTTGTTTTTTTTTTGTTTTTTGTGTGTGTGTGTGTGTGTGTGTGTGTGTGTGTAAATGTTTTGTCTGCATGTAAGTAAGCATGTATGTATGTATGCTTGCCATGTGCTTGTGCCCTCTGAAGTCAGAAGAGGGCATCAGATGTCCTGGAACTGGAGTTATGTGTGGATGGTTATGAGCTGTCTCTTTATCCTCCCTTGGATGTTTTTAACGGACAGGGTTTCTCATGAAGTTTCTCTTGAGTTGACTGTGTCTCATTCCTGAGGTTTCCCCCCTGCCCCATTTAGGCGAAGGATATTGTAGGTCTCAGTTAGCCTGGGAGCTGTGGGAGGCTGTATATTCTTGGATGTTTGTTTCTCTCTCATGGGTCATGGCATGTTCTTAACAAAGGAAAAGCCACAAAACATTTCTGGAAATGTGCCATTATCTTTTCCCATGCAAAGCAGAATGATTTTATAGTGTAATAGTGTATTTGGTCTATTTTTCTTTTTCTTTCCCTTTCTTTCTCCTTTTTTTTTTTTTTTTGAGATAAACTCTTATATAGACCAGGCTGACCTTGAACTAGCAGTGCCCATGCCTCAGCCTCTCCAGATACAGGATTACAAGTTTGTGCCCCCACACCCACTGTGGTGATAAATATTTTTGTGCCCTACATTCTACCAAGGGAAGAACGTCTTCCTTACCTTTTTTAAGTATTTGTTTCAAGGCAGGATCTTATAACACAGTCCTAGGCAGCCTGGAACTGGTTATGTAGACCAGGCTGGCCTTGAACTCACAGAGATCTGCCTGCCTCTGTCTCAAGCTCTGGGACTAAAGGTGTGCACCACCACATGCTGTTTTCTTTCCTTTTTTGAGACAGGGTCTGATGCAGCCTTGAAAGCTGCTGTGTATCTGAGGGCGACTTGATGTTCAGGTGGCGTGCGGCTCCCAGCTTTCAAGGATGGTTCTGGAGGTGTTTAGGATGAAGCTGTCACGGGGGCGGGCTTGCCTGTAGCTCACTCCTGGAGCAGGGCACTTCATGAAGGCAGTCTCTTTGGCTCGTGTTCCAACACGGGCTGTGGCGCAGAAGTACCTGTCCCTGTGTTTGCTTTCCATTATTTTCTGGTTATAATGACCATCGTTAGAAGGGAGAGAGATGTTGGGGGGGGTCCATTCAGAGCTCTGCTTAATGAGTTCCCTTGAGGACTGGCTCCCTCCCTACAGCACAGTGGGGAAGGCTGGAAAGAATTAGTGTTGGAGGCTCCTGGAGTAGGAAAGTAAAGGTGCAAAGAGGAAGTTGGAGGGAATCTCTCTGCTGGTTCGAGAAGCTGAGCTTGAAGTACGGAGGAGGTCAAAAGAAATAAAATCCAAACCAATGGAGAAGTCTCTAGCACCCTCACTGACTCCAGTTCACCTTGACCTTGGAGAAATTACTTCAGCCTCCATTGCCTCTTCTGTGAAATGGGTTTGAGGGGCTCTGGTAACTCATACCTGTAATCCTAGCACTTAGGAAGGCTGAGGCAGGAGAATTGTCATGACTTACCCTGTTTTAATTACCCTGTAATTAATTAGCTGAGCAGTGGTGGCAGAGGCAGGTCGATCTCTGAGTTCGAGGCTGGCCTGTTCTAGGATAGCCAGAGCTGAATAGAGAAACCCCGTCTTGAAAACCAAAAAGAAGAAAAAAAAAAAGATTGAACCAAATAAAGTAATGAACACAGAATGTAGGGTATGATTCTCCCTGTTCTGATTGCTTTGTAAAAGGCAGTATTAAGGTGAAGGAAGGGCCTTGGAGCCTGCAGGGCACAGAGAGAAACAGTTCCATCAGCATCGCCCTGATACTCTGTAGTTTGCTGGGAGGCCTTTCTAACAGCCTTCTCAAGCTATGGGATCCTGTCATGGGCCTGTGTAAGCCTAACCCCTGGAAGAAGGTTGAAGGTTGTAGAACTCACTGGTATTGCTAAGGTTGTGGGAGGAGACGACAAGGGGAAACAACCAGCATTCTGTCTTCTCCACCCCCTCCCAGCGGTGAGTCTGAAATGGGCCTGTTGCCGCTCCGTAATCTGAGCGCTCAGAAGTGGAGGTAGGAAGATCGGAAGGCCGAGTTCATCTTCAGCTGCATAGCAAGTTCCAGACAAGACTGTGCTGTGTGTGACTTTGTCAGAGAGGAGAGGGGGAGGAGGGGATGGAGGGATGGAGGAATGGATGGATGGATTGATGGATAAGTAGGTAGGTAACAGATAAGTAGATAGATCGGCAGGCAGGCAGGCAAATGGGCAGACAGACAGACAGAGGTAGGTAGATAGAAGGAAGAGATAGATAGATAGATAGATAGATAGATAGATAGATAGATAGATAGATAGATAGATAGTAGATAGTAGATAGTAGGTAGATAGTCAGGTGGGCTGGTGCATGCCTATAAT